GTGACGGCTGCGTAGGAGCCTGGTGTCCGCACGCCTCGACGGCAACACTACCGACAACTCGGATGATGGCGGCGGCAGCAACCCTGCACCGGCTCCGCCGAAGAATCTTCAGGCGGTGGGCGGTTCAGGGGGTCGCGTAGATCTGTGTATCGAGTAGACCAGTCCACTCGCTGTGTAGGAATACATGAATGCCATCGCGATTGCAGTGATTTTTACGTCCCTTATTGCGTGATAATCATTATGTTCTGCCATTAAAACTATTGGCTACGCGTTCAGGCCCACCTCTTCGCCTTAAAAACAATGTTCTTTTGACCATGAGAAAGTACATTGAGTCATCCGAAAACGTCCATAGTTGGATCTCGGCAAAGTCCATTACTCTCATGAAACACCTACATTATTACTATACACCAAAGACATGAATATTACATGAAAACCACTAACGTACGGGTGTGATTTAGGTACATGAGTTTCAGGTATCTCTGTCTTCGCAGTGATATTGACCATATGTGGGGTAAGCGTAGTAAGTTTTGCCATGATCTTGCTGAAGCTGAAGTCAAGAAGGAATCTTTGATCCACGCTACCCTTCGGTACCCTCAGAAAACCATCCTTCTGTACGTTCTCGGCCTCTACTTCGAGCAGTGTCCCCATCTCAGAGGAGACCCATGTTGTGAGTGACTCAATTGATTCACGAGGTTGTCCCGCTGACTTCCATGCATCAAGGAAAGCGGTGACATGTTCTGCTTTGGCATGCTGGAGGCGTTGAGGTGAGCCGGCTGCATCAATAAGGAACTCTCCAAAGGGAACACTGCCTGTGTCTAAGGTCTTCCAAGCCAACGCAATAGCGTTGCCTCGTCGCATCTCCCAGGCAAGTTGACGTGACTGTGAAATCCTGTCAGCCACTGGTGTATCCGGATTCATACTTGAGAGAGCATCCGATGGAGGGTGGGATAAGATTGGTGAGTGTTCAGGAGGATCAAGGCTGAAGGGAATAGGGGTGATTCCAGCGCTATGTCCCTCTAAGCTGTCCAATTGCGGAGGTGATGAGAGGGAGGATGACGGCTGTATGCCCCTTTTCAGGTGAAGCTGGTGACGCAGTCGACGTGATGGAGATTCATCTTCATGGTCTTGTGGGGGTATCCGCTGGTAGGCATGTCCTGTAGCCAGTGCTCTTGCAATGGATAGGACGGCATTGCAGCAATGCTTGGGTGAACTCGGTCACTCGGTGGCAGTACTTGTGTTGCGGTCAGCAATCTCTTGCGCGCACCTGTTCTATGGTGCTCTACCTTTCCTCCTTGCCTGCTGTCCCATGGCTCGCTCTCACAGCCAAAAGACATGCTCTCAACCCAATTCATCATGGAAACCTGTAGAACCACGCGCGCGCTCTCCTCGTGAACGAGCCACCCTCAAGGAGAAGATGGGACGTCTCCTCAAGGGCAAAACTCCCCGTGATTTTCAAGTTGAGCTTGCGGTTTCGCAAGAACAGCAGCAGGACGCGATTTGCCATCCAGCAACTGGTCTAGGCAAGACGTTTGTAGCAGCAGCACCATTCGCTTTGGAGCACAATGTCAACACAAAACGGATCGTGCTTATTGTGTCGCCGCTAATTTCATTGCAAGAGGAGATGATATGTATGTCATTCCCTCCCCTTGCAGCTTCGCTGTCTCAGATCTGAATTGACCACTGTTCAGGTCAAAACTTTCGAATATGAGTTCAATTTGACAGCAATTGCTGTCAACAGCACACGGGGAGGGCTCAGACGGGATACACTGCGAGTACGTGATGGGCTACTATTCTACCGACATTTAGATTTAGATGCTCATCGACATCCCCTCAACAACAGCAAATCGTTGATGGAGTGTATCGGGTTGTTCTTATCTCGCCAGAGCTTCTCCTTTCCCGTCGCTTTAGCTCACTTGTCCTCAAAAACTCCTCCTTCAAGTCACGCATTCATTCAGTCATCGTTGATGAGGCTCATTGCGTATCACACTGGGGGGCGAGCTTTCATAAGGCGTACGCAAGGATTGGGTCAGTGCGAGTACTTCTACCCAAATATACCCCCTTTGTTGCTGTTCAAGCTACCCTAACGCGAAGAGTGCTCCGCGATCTCAAAGAGAAGCTTCAACTTACACGTCGCTCTGACCTCGTTTTCCTCAATATGGGCAATGATCGTACCAACGTCTCGCTGGCCGTCCGTGCTATCCAAAATGCGATCAACTCTTTCTTCGACCTCGACTTCACCGTTTCCAGTGATGCCCAGTCCGCTGAGGATGTCCCGAAAACCTGGATTCACACCGATAACATTAAGGAGGGTGGTCTTATCTGCGACTACTTGCGTAGTAAGCGGCTGCGCGAGATGGGTATTGATCCAGCGATAATCCGTGAATATAGTGCGGCACTCACATCAGAGTATCGTACTTCTGCCATGGATCAGTTTCGAAGTGGGAAGATTCGTATCTTGATCTGCACCGATGCAGCAGGAATGGTGAGTCTCCCTCAAACATCGCAACAAGATGGAGCTGATGCGATGACTTAGGGGTGCAACATTCCCGATATGGACATCGTCGTGCAATGGAGGCTTCCCCAGAAGCTCTCGTCCTTTGTTCAACGTGCTGGTCGTGCTGCTAGAGGACAAGGGAGGGTGGGACTGGCTGTGCTCTTATGCGAGCCATTTGTCTATTCTATAGACCTTGCTGCTCTTGCGTCCGAGTCGGAGAAGGCGGCATCGAGGAAAGCAGCACGATCGCACCTCATCAAGTCGAAAGCACCCGGTCAGGACTCGGAGGGAAGTCTCCTCGAGTCTATCGCAAAAACAGCCTCGCGATAATACGCCATCGCGCACGGACGTAATCGAGGTGGGCATGGCACGGACGATACATTGCGGGAGATGGATGAGCCAGACGCCAACCCCGAGTCCGTGGACGAAGGACTTATCCACTTTGCACAGACAACCAAATGCCGTCGGCGGGTTCTTACGGAAGTCTTTGATAATCCTCCCTCAGGTATGCCACTATACTCGTCGTGTACACTAACAATGGTTCTCATCTCGAGCCCAGTGCCTACTGTCGCATGCTGCGACATCTGCAACCCCGAGCTCCTTGATCGAACACGACCATTGCCCAAGCAGACAAATGTACGGGCTCCCCGAGTCAAGAAGGGTGAGGTGCAGCCCGAGATTGTTCAAGCCGTCAAGGCATGGCAGCGACGTGTGCGGGAAACCATGCCCAAGCACTCTCTACTCACGGCCGGCTCCCTGCTCTCAATGTCTGCTATCACCACTCTCGCTTTAATCACCCCACTCACAGCATAGACGATCGGCCACGTCCTCAAGCCGAAGTGGTCACGCTGGGATCAACACGGGCAAGACCTCACTCAGGTGCTCCTCGACGCGGATGCAGAGGTGGCTCAAGCCCAGCCAACAGCCTGACCCCACCCCAGTGGTGAGCGAACCCGGACCACCAGCGTCAGCGATGCGGGCCGCCTCCACCGCCCACTCTCGACGCTCTACTAGTCCATTTGCTCCACGTAAGCGCCGGAGAGCTGTCAATGCCACCCCTTCTTCCACGTCCTATCCACCACGCGTCGACAACCCAGTTTCACCTGAACCCCTCTGTCAGCCCCTTTTCCTTGTTACTAGCAAAGCTCTCATCTCGTTCAACACCCGTTTCCATACCCGTTCCTGGCCCCCAACCTGCCCTCCTTCTCTCGGTTTGCAGCACCCGCGCCTCCAGCACCTCCTAGTCAGCTCGCACTCCCGCCTTCTGTATCTTCCGTACACCCGGCCGTGCACTCGGCCGCACGCTACATGCACCCTCCTAGCGTACAGCCAACATCTTCATTTGGCAACCATCCCTCCTATGCACCAACCTCATACACGCTGTTTTACCCGGCTCAGGATCAAACCTTGCCAGCCTCACAGCACCCAACTAGACACGCCCAGCATGTATCTATTCCCACTCACCAACCTCACGCTTCGCTCTCGTCTCCGCAGCCTCGTTACCCTTCCCACTATACTCCCAACGCTTTTGGATAGAGGTATGCACATTCACTTCTCAGCCAGTTTTGGTCACCTCGAGCCCACTTTTCATACACTTCGCCTGTTATCTCAAATCCTAGCTCATTGATCACTCGGTATATGGTATGCATAGTTTTGTTACGATACGAGGACAAGGGAGGGAGCTATGGATGATTTTGTATTTCAGGCATCGAAATTTGACTAAGTCCAAACGTTGAGATCGCGTTGCCCCTGCGAACAGCCGACAAGTGTGCCCAGCCGCTCCTGGCGGAGCTCTCCCTCATATGAGGTTTGACGTCGCGTACGTGACATATGTCAACGATTTCGCCCTCCGATGTCAACGTTAGCTCCGCCAGAGCGACTGGTCCGAGCACAGGAACATGAAACCAATCTGATAACTATTCCGGCTTATTTTCAGGATATAAAACCTCCCGTTTGTCTACACAGCGTCGTCTCCTACGACGTTTGGTGCTTTTGCGAGTTGAGGTATTATCGGAGCCACGCTTCTTCTCGTTGGGCGGCTGGGCTGGTTGCCCTGCCCCAGCATCCATGTCACTGTGGATGTGGAGAGTAGCCCGAGGAATCTTGTACTTCGAACGAGCCACCTCTGCTAATCTAAAGAGTTCGTCTCCCTTCAGCATCGCGTTGTATGTCTCACTCCTGGGGACCTGGATGCAATTTTCGCAAACATGAGCATGACGATATCACCGGGCAATCACCGGGTGGCCATTAACGGGATAGCAAATCTGACAACTAACCTCTGCTGTCATCGGTACGGCCGCACTCGGAAATCGGGATGTCACTCCTTGATTGGTATCGCTGCCCATATCTGTCTCGCGTATTTCACCCGGCTCAAGCTATTCCTTCATTTGAACATGGCAGACCAATGACACCGATTTAACACTGACCTCCATGGAGACATCGGCATCTTGAATGATAGGTGGGATGATGGCTGCTATGATGGCCTTGGACCACTCGCTGGCCTCCGGGATCGCCCTTCCAATGGGCTTCAACCGATACCCAAATCCACAGCTGTCAACGGGCTCAATCCGGGATTCTTGATACACCTTCCAGTCGACTGGGTCCAAAAGAGGGTCAACGCTGGAGACAGATGGATTCTCAGGCAAGCTAGCCTTACCTATGTCCTCGATATTCTTCACTCCAGATGAGACGGACTCAGACGTGACACCGTATTGCTGCTCAGCCTTCCTTCTGATGCCATCGTCGTGTTCGCTAGAGCACCATTTCGACCAGGGATTGATTTTGCACAGCCAATCCAACCACAGGTAGTAGTCAAATGCAGGCGACCGGCCGGAGCCTGAGTTCAGCATTTCCTCGAAGAACCTATCGCGCAATCTGTCCATGTAGAGAAAGGTCTGAATCAACCTGACAGTAATCAGCATTCCTTCGTGTCGGGCTTTCAGAAGCTTGGCGATGGTGAATTTGAGGAGTTCAAATTTGTAGCTGAATGCATGAAATGCTTTCGCATAGAATGCAGACACGGGCACCCGGTGCACCTCTTCCTTCTCAATGACTAACACTGCCTCCGGGATTGAGTTACGGTGCGATATGTAGCTTCCCTTCAGACCCAGAGAGACCAGCTCATCTTGCGTGACTGCCGTTACATCAAAAGGGATGGCTAGAGTTTCAGACATAGGCCAGAGAACCAGACAAGGATGATAGGATATCCTTTGCGAAGAGCTTGTCAGTATTTGTGCACGGGAAATGCAATAGAGGGTTTCGAAGAAGACGTTGTGTGGATGTGGTCGAGGGGCCCTATGAAAAACGACGAAGAGAAGCTGATAACGCAAAGTCGGGAAACGTCACTGCGGAACGCATCGCAGGTCACGCTGTCACAACTGATCAACGTAACCATGTGTACTGTGATTCACTGTAGTGTTGCCGCATTTGGCGAACTGGCCGGAACCAAGCCCACAAAACTTGTACTTGCACTCATTATCAGTCCGGATAACACACCACGTCGCCATGTAGAGGCTAAAAACCGCGAAGATCAACACATTGTTATTCGGTATTGTGGCAAGAAAGTGTACTCCAAGGAGGCGCTTTGGGCTGGTTTCACGAACCGCGGCAACACTAATTCACTGTCAGAACAGACGGACTTTTGTGTAACGTGCGTGACTTATTTCCCCTTTCCCCAATCTGATCAAGTCTAGGTTGTAGATATCCTATGTTTATGATATGCCTCGCACAAAATCGCTGAGTGAATGAAGCAAAGTGAGCGTGTGCTGTACTTGAGACTTGTTTTGGGCCACTCAGATCCGCTCACTCGCGCGCTTTGGGGGAAGTATCAAGACTTCGCAGACACGTACTCCATGAGATTGCGTGCCCATCTCATCACATACTTATGATCAGGTTAGGGGTGTAACGTAATGGGGCGCAGGAGATGAGGCCTGATACCGGGCTTTGGTAGCGCTGTGGTTGAACCGGGCATGTGACATGAATGTCGCTGCTGCTGACTCAGAGTATGGAGGACTGCATAGTATGTAGTGGCCAAATGTCTGAAACATCCGAGCTTGCGGGGGCAATAACGGGGTAGGTACAAAAGCGTAGGCTCGGTATGTTAAGATTCATCCGAGATCATACGCTCGATTTTGAGGTATAAGGGGCATATGAGCCATCAAGGTACTGTCAGGGTGTGACCCCTGGTGACCCGTATACTCCCCGTATATGAGGTCCGAGACTGCTCAGGTGAACACGTAACCAGGATTGATATCGCGCAGCTTCGGTAGGGATCAACGCTGCCGCTGTGCACGCACTGTCATTACAATGATCGCAATACAACAGGATCAACTAATAACAGGCGCATACAATGCAGGCAACACGTTGCCAGCGTATATTCTTGAGAACTACTACCAGTATCGATGATAGCGCGAGCAGCAGAGGCGCGCGAAGGTTTATGCGCCAGAGTGGGCGCGTCGGGCCTGGGACGGTTATTGTTGAAATCGGCGTGGAACTCTCCTACCTTCTTCGGCACGATGTTGATTCGGACCCGTGCAATCTGACGGTGTCCAGAACGCCCCGCCCCCGCCCGGCGCGGTGGGTGGGCACCGATATAACCGCAGTATGGGTGGTATCGTCACGGACCACCAGTGGCTACTGCCGCATGGCACAGGGATGTCGAGGATGTATCGCGGTGTCACTAGCGAGCGCGAGCGCGAGATTATAGCTGCGGAGCGGCAGCGTGAACGCAACCTCGAATATGGCCCCGTGCCCCTACAGAATCCGCCGCAGAGCAGCGCGCAGCGTCGACGCCGCGGGGCGTGCGAGAGTAGCTCAACTTGACGGAGTGCGACAAGATGCGTGATCGTCATCTAGGCTGGTATTAAGTGATCGGGAGATAGCGAGGGAGAGCAGAGGGAAATACGGAGGGAGGGGGAGAAGGATATGTAGCGCCCGCCACGCCAAGTACCAACACCCAGATCGCAATCGTGAGAGGGAGGAAGAAGGGGATGGCCCTAGCTCAGGCTGCACATCCACCATACCCCCCGAGATTGCCAATCAGCGTCCACACATAAATGAAGGCAGGGGTAAACGCACCCTTTGCCAATGCCCAAGCAACACCTTCCGATATGTTCCGTCCAGCCTAGTCTTGAGCAGTTCCAACCCAGCCTGTCTTTGAGGTTGATGTGTAAGACGGCGGCCACTGACTTGGGTAGATGTATGAATAGGAGCAGCGTGTCGATCACACACTCAGAGTGCGGAGTGTAGATTCTCGTCATACCCTTAAGGTCAGAGTGGCCAAGTATGTGCGACATTGATGTTAGCAGATGCTATGAGGAGGGCCAGTACTTACGGTGTATCCGAGCTCTAAGCCATCGCAATCATATCAGGGTGGCGAGCGCACAGTTTCATCTAATGTATATCTTCTTTTGAAGATACCAGCGCTTCCGGACATGTTTGATTTGAGAGGATATGAGAAGACTGTCGTCGTGAGCATTAGAAAAATAGCCACAGGTCAAAAGCGCTGCGCTGAGGCGGCGGTCGGAAGGACACGGGATCCAAAACTGAGCATAACTCAACCGACGCCGTCACAACTTCCTCTCTACAGAGCGCCGCCCCATCAGACGAGCGATGCGGAAGCGGACGGTGCGGAGCGATGAGACATGAGGAAGGTCCTGACCAATCATGGCGTTGTAGCAATGTGAGGGTCAACCCACCCTACAGGAGCGTGATGTATGTACATACACGTTGAGCTGACCCCACAACCGACGTAGTCGACACTTCTTCTCTAGCGAGGGCCGCTCACAAGTGTGAGCGACCCAGAAGTGGACATCGAGGGCAATCCGCAACGGTGGTGACGGGAAGAGGACAGGATGGGTTTGCCTCGTGTCGCTTCCGTCCATACTCACGGGTAATCGTTAATCAGGTTCCCACCTGCATTCGCGGTCACCAGGCTTTCCCACGCCTCCCGCGCGGGCGTCGCCGCAAATTCACCGTAGAATCACGCCGCGGTCCATTCTTACTGCTTTTTTGGCGTAATACGTAGATACTAATTACAGGACCTCTGTTCTTGTATATCAAGTCAGATAGTTTTTATCATCGCCCAAAATTTCCATTTCCTCATCGATCATCAGCTTGAATGCGTCTGCTTAACGTCATGTATGAACAGCGTGTCGTCTCCTGTCCAATAGTTTTGATCTGGAAGCGTCAGAGTGTATTCGCGGCGCTACTGGGATTGTGATTCCACTGTCATTGCGTCATTGCTATCATCCTGTTGATGTGCTGTGGTACGAAAATGATATTTCATTCCGATCCATTGCTGTCTACATGCCGAAGGGTAACGGAGGGTTGTCGTGGATTACACTGCCCACGGCGCCTTTCTGCTTATCTTCTGGAAATACTATCCACTTATCCCATTCCACCGCTGACGCCTCGCGGTCCTAAATTGTGAACGTCAGTTTCTGCAGTTGATGACGAGCTAAATTGCAACGAACATCTACGGATTGCGTTGTTTGTCCAGCCCCGCTCTCCGGATTCAACATCGTTGACTGGCCAGCCCAGCCCACCGGATCCAGTACCATTGACTGGCTATCCCAGCCCTCCGGATCCAATGTCGTTGACTGGCCAGCCCAGCCCTCCAGATCAGATAGCTGAGCAGGATGGATCTCCTCCATGGTCACTGAGTCAAACGCAAGTTGGACGTCATCAGTGTTCATTTGCTCAAGCGTTGGGTGATGTTCTCCGGTAGCGATTAACTCCTGAGCCGCAATCTTGACATATGGAAGTAAATCGTCAGACCAATCAGTATGCTTCACGATTCAATCCATAGCTGTGTAAACGCCATCCTCCCCATAGCTACTCACATTCTGACCGAAATGAGTTGAAGAATCTTCGAATATGGAATTAGATCTCCGGGACCGTTTTGAAGACGGACTTGTTTCATCATCCTAAATTGTGTACGTCAGTTTCCTAAACTGATGACAAGCCAGTTGTCAACGAACCGTAGACTGTGTCTCGGCAGAACTGGCCCTTGAATGCTTGTGCGTGCCTGCTGCTCCGCTGGAGCCGACTCCATCTGTTACTGTAATGCCAGCGTCAGCGGTGCGCCATGCGCCGCGCGTCATTGCCTGACCTGTCCTGCCTTCTGATACAACTGCTTGATTAAGACTGACATCCACCATGTCCACTGAGCCAGACACAGGATGGTCATCTTTGGGTGTAGCAGATAACCCCTGTACTGCAACCAAAAGGACAGAGAGCGCGTTCTTCGTGGCGACGTCACCATTTTCTGGCTGAGTCTCAATGAGATTTTCGATCGCCTCAGCATCCCGATAGTCGTCGATGTCAATGCCACATTTGTCTTGAAGATGGGAACGGATGTTGGACATTAAGCCCGACATCATAGTATTCCATCGACCGGAATAAGCGTTCAGGTTGCCAGAATCTGGGTCCGCTCTAGCCTTACCCTTCCGTTTCGTGCTGCTCGCGGTGTTGCTAGCGACGGTTAGACCTGACTGAGCGCTTTTTTGTGGAGCAGCCTCTCCGTCCTTATTGCTTGAAGTAAAACTTGTCTCCGCTTTCTGGATGATAAATTCGGAGATTTTGACTGCAACATCAGGTGGCGCTGTAATGGGATCCGGGCCCATGTAATCGACGTTCACGCCGGTGGAATCAAAGGTCGACGCAGCCTGATCCTCTTTCCATTGCTCCCAGTTGACTGTGGGGACAGAGGCATGATGAGGATCAGAGAAAAGTGGACATGGGCACAAGAAGGGAGTACGTGCGATGATTGAAGATATCCGGCGTCCGGCCACTCGTAACATACGTGAAATCCACCGTATGCATTTTGAGCAACTCCTTGCGCGCTTCCTCGTCAAATCGTTCCACAGTCACTTGTAACCACAGATGATAATCTAATGTCGGACAACGCCAGGATGGGTCACCCACACTCGTCGCTTTTGCTTGCTTTACAAACGCCGACCGGACGTCATCGAGATACTTCAAATGGCGATACAGGAACGTAACGCCAGGTTCATTGTCGACTTTCGGGTCCTTCTCCAGAATTGTCAAGGCATGCTTGAGGACCTCACATTCGTAGCTGACCATGTGGAGGACGCGTAGATACTTGTTGGGTACCGGGACGATGAGCTTGGATGATGGAGTGTTCATCAGGACTAGGGTTGATGCTGCCGCGTCGACGTAGCTCCGTTTGCGTATCAAGAGCTGTCTAGTAGTTGTATCGATTCCGGACGTAGACCAAGCAATAGGTGAAGTCATGGAAGCGATGAAAGATATGATCGTGGATGGCCGATGAGAGTGCGAAGACCCAGATGTATGGACGGTAGCTTCGTAGGGTTTGTGCTCGGCATCTATATGCGGAAATGAAAAGGTGGAGTTCGAAACGTTTCATGCGGCTTGACAAACGCTAGCAATGTTTTTCGTCGGAATAAAAGGCGAGAAGACTAAAGGATGGGCTGGAAGGCATTCCTGTGTAGCTGACTTACCCTTTGCCTCGTCACCAGTAGAGCTGTCATTTATCCGGAGTTAACCGTGCCGCTGAGCTTTTGCGGAATTCTGTGTATTGGCGGGGTCCCATCGGAGCCCGAAGCCAATCCTGCCGGAGACCGGCAGACCCTGAGCCACCCCAGCACCCCAGCCCCCAAGCCAGCTCCCACTGAAGCCCACAAAGGGCCCCACACCACCATGGCATATCAGATATTCCCTGAGGGCCCGGCTGAGGAAAAGAAACGCGCAATGTGCCCGTTACCCCTAGGGTCACTGGGATTGAGGGGGACACTACTTTTGCGTGTTGGCAGAGAAATTGGCCACGCGACAAAAACCATGTGACACCACGTGACTATCCAATGTTAACTATGATCCTAAGACTAGTTGCTATTGTTCAATCGAACGTTCCCTAGCACTGCTCGAATTCGTTGCACTGGACCGCTCGCTGTTCCCTCTGCACTTCCACCATTTCCCTGCCAAAGCTACCATGGACCCGATGGCGCTGGTCAACGTAAACAGCATATATTGTCTGCGGTATGGCCGTCCAGCCACTTCATGAATCGACGATATGGTTCTTGGGACATTGCCGTCGACCAACCATCGACTCATTGTGCTGTGAGCCATAATTGGCTTTCTGGTGTGCTACGTAGTGTCCTTCTCAATCTCCGTTATCGGCATGCGTGCTATCCTCGCTGATGAGCTTTCGACCGATATCGTGTTGGGAACTTGGGCCGTGATTGGCTTTGCTATCGTAATATCATTCTCTGAGACATCGCTACATCTACACCTCCTCAACACATATTCCCTACAAATAGATGTTGCTCGATGTATGTAATCATAATGTAACCCTGTATTCGACAATGCCGCCAAAGTCTGAGATCTGAAACTTGACCTTGCAATTGTTCTGGGATAAACGTTTACCACAAACATTCCCGCACACATAATTTTAGTGAATGACCGCCGGGCCTCTGCATCGATCGACGACATGACTCTGAATCGCAAGAACCAATACCGCTAACATCTGATCGATAAAGTCGCACAAGTTGGGCACCTCTCGTGCGCACTCTTGTGTTACACACTCCCGAAACAGTCTCGGGAAGGGGTGACGGGCATTGCCGTGCCACCACTTGGACGCCCCTACTCAATTTTAAGGCAACGAGCCCATAGGCTCTCGCATCAGGGAGATTTGGACCGCTCTCTGGCGGGAGACCAGCGGAGATTTAATGTTGGCAGGAAAGAAGCATCGAGAGCGGTCGGAGATCGGTTAGATAAGCCGGCACCCCGTAGCCGATCGAACACTCGTAGTGTCGCGTCGCGTTGCGCTCTGTACACGCCGTGGTCATGAAATATAATGATTTGCACCCTTTCCCTCCTGCGTTAACGTACAATATGCTACCCTGGATTCATCCTAACTACTACCAGCCGCCTCCACTGCTTCCACCACCTGTATTTCGGCCACCGCAATGGACAACACCCCCTGGATGGCTCTCTGAGGATATCAGACTAAGGGAGCTTTCGACGGCTTTGGTTGACACGTAAATGACAGCGCTTGATCTCCATATCTCTCAGCGCGGTTCTAGCTGCTCTCTGGAGGAGTCCTACATCAAAACTGGGCTGGAGCTGTTCTCGAAGGCGGGAAAGTCAGCTACAGATGTTTTGATTATGATTCTACAGGCGAAGTCTTAGTCAGCATATCTCGTGCCCTATCGTACTCTATTTCTAGGCGGCGGGGCGTCCGAATTTCTCTGGAACATGCTCGGAGATATTCCTCACTGGAAGAGAAAGATAAAGTGTAGGCTTGAGGACGATTCGATGCCGCATATACTTTCTATTATGGGGAAAGAAATGACGGCTGCATCTTCGAAGCTGTTCTGCAAGTCAACCAGGGAAACTATACTTACGATTGTCGAGATGTTTGACCTCACATGGCTTGCGCAAAGCGTTCGGAACCTCATGCCTACAACATGGACGCTTATCGAGTTATTAACCAAGGGTAAAAGGTCTCGGGAAGACGAGGCACTCCACAGCGATCTTTCGGCGGTATTCTCGAGGGTTTCTTGCCCTATATGCGTATATCTAACCTCGAGCTGAGCCTATCACTACAATCATCTGTCAAATCGCACATATGCACTCGCAGAGGAACATGCTGTTCCAGCAGCTGTATGGTCTCTGTCTTCTCAGTCTCAGCATATGCCGAAGAGAGCGATCGAAGTCATGGCTAAATGCGGTCTCTGCCCCTGCTGGACCACGCTCAAGGATCTCAACACTCATCTCTCTGGAAAACAGCTTGAACGGACTCAAGTCCTTCTATATGTCCGTGAAGACGACCCCACTTGGCTTACAACATGCCTCCCGGAGCTACTGGAGTGACGGGCAGAGGGGAACCTAACTTTAACTTACAAAGAGCATCACAAAAAGTAGGGAGATATTATACACGCTAAACGTGTCATAACTTACAGTACAATGATCATAATGCATATCACCAGAGTACAGGTCCAACTTTCATTACGGAAGACCTCGAAGTTTCATATTTTGAGCTTAGTTATGATACAGCATTATAGAGTGAGGCTAATATGATTGTGTACGACAGAGTAAGGTTGATACGATCGGGCATGATAGAAGGGCTGCAAAATGACATGGCACTACATGCAGAGTTCAAGTCTATAATGATACTCAAGTCATACAATGGATGATCAAGACGACAAGATTATATTATAATAGATGGTACCAATAGTACAGGACAAAGCTTCAGAATATAGTACGAGCTACTAGACATGGTCAAGTACACGCGTCAAGGTACAAGAAATGTAATTGCGAAGGGGAGATAACAATGACTCGAGCGTCGCATACCCTAGATATACATGGAAAAGGTTACAATTAACGAAAGTCAAAAACGAGGGCCATGTATACGCACCTATCAAATCAATGCTTGCTTTTAACCCCGGATTTGCTGGTGTTGTAGCTGCGGGCGTTTTTGCGGGGATCTTCGACGACGGTTTCTCCTTTGTCGGTGCCTGCTTCTGGGGCTTGGTGTTGAGCTGGCCGTGTGAGTGGGATGTGACAGAAGAAGCCGCACGAGAAGACGGAAGATGGCCAGGTGGACGCGCGGTCCCATGCATATACCTGAAATATATATATATAAGGCTACTTTTATGCCGTTAGCATATGTCCTGAGCCAATTAGAAGACGCGAAAGGTGCTTACCACCAGTCGCAGTAGGACAAGCAAGTGGGGGAAAGCGAATGCGAGGCGTCTGCATAATATACGTCAGTGAGCCTGCATTCCAATCTCTCTCTTCATCCTCGTCATCTTGTCACCCTAGCTTCTCTTGCATACTAACCTCTCTCTTCACCCTTGTCACCTCTAGATTCTCCCGTTGCCGTTGGCTTCCCTTCTCCCGAGACTCCCGAGGTGTCGTCAAAGTGGTGTATCTTCACACTCCGACACACCATGCTGGAACTTAGCTTCATCGACCCTAACACTGTAATCCGGAGTGCTCACAGAGGAAACAGAGGCAAGGGGAACTATGTCCAAGTGCTTGGCGTGTTCAAGCTAAGGGCCAACGATATCACGCGTTCAGCATCGTTGTAACGCGTCGGAATTGGTCCTGAAATGTGCGACCCAAGCCTCTGAGCACTTTGGGCCGGCACGAGCTCTGAAGACACGGTATTCTGTGTCGTCCGAATACCACCATTGGTGACATAACAAAGATGGCGCATAATACATTGTATTTAATGATGAATAATTACGACGCTCTATAATGTAGGTAGCTAACTTGACAAGACTCTTATATAATATATGAAATTATACCGTCCAAATCACTGGCCATCTACATTGAATACAACTCTTTGGGTGACCATCTATAGTTGGCTATAATACATAGCATTCCTACAGCGCGTGTCTATAATTCTCTGTCGGACTAAGTGTTATAATATAGTGCCCGAGTCCATCCTCATAATATTACCTTTCTTATCATCGGCCTCTATCGTAGCCCATAGTGGCGATCGTAAGTACGCTCACATCATAATACATATAATTTTTCCCCACTTTCTGTGATGAGGACGTGCGCTCAACGCCTTCTGAAAGAGCTGATATGCGCCGCCATCTTCAGCTTGATATTATTTCTATTCTACAGAAGTCTGCAGGCGACTCGTTCAGCTATCTAGGCGACCCGGATAAGCTGCGCCACAAGTCTTACTGCCCTAACCGTCCGAGCGAAAAACTAACCCAGCACCCTCTACCTACTCTGAAGATTAACGAGGCTACAACACGAGGTAACACTGATGTGCTCACCAAAACATTCACGGCCAAGGAGCTGCTTAACCAGCCATCCGAACGCTTCAACACTCAAGCTATTAGTACTCATGACGACCAGTCCACCACGACGCGCATCTGAGCTGCTCAGCATGAGCGATTAGAAGACGACACCTCTCTAGATAGGCTCGAGAACTTTCAGATTAGTTTTGGACCGTTTCATCTCCTTTATAACGCTTGCATGCTCCTCGAGACTCATAGACATGCTGTTGATGTTCCAGGCAGCCTGGCCTGGTATATCTAGATTCTCGACCTGAAGCGGCTCAACAACGAAAAGCCCGACTATCAGACCTTAGTCCATCTATTTACCATTGTTCTTCAGGCTAACATTATCTCATACTGGGAGCTGATCACCGGAAAGTCACTTTCGGACTTAGCAAAGGACAAGCCCTCGCCCTCAGAGCTACTCAGCTGGTCTCAAGAGATTTATAAACACTTTTTACGACGAAATTTACAGGCAAGGGTGACCAGACTGATGAGCTGCTTCGGAATATGGCTTATCCGAATCGGGACTTGCTCACGTTCTACGAGCCCCAACTTGCGGTGTCTTCAGGCAATTTTGGACGTCTCGAGATCTCGGAACATGTACGCAGATGTTTGCAGGTGGCCACTGCACAAATTACATGACGGAGCTCCTCCACTTTATTCAGAACCTCAAGAAGGTTTGGACGCCTCGCTTCGCGTCCGTGGTTTTAATTTTTTTACTCCTGTAACTTTCTGACGGTTTCAACAAGCGACGTTATGCGCCGCCATATGTTCATTAATGTCACAAACCGGCCGGGTCATTTCATCGGCGTGGACATGAACATAGAACGTGTTATCCGTAGTATAAAGGTATGTCATTCCACTTAAACTTCGTCTACTGAATACATCTTGCTGGCTAGGCATTTCATATCATCAGAGACGCTCATTACAACTGGATTCAGCTTGGTGTCTACGCTACTAATCTCTCCTTACTCCGACCGCTTAAATTTCAGTTTGCACGATGGTACCGCAGTGGCTACAGTGGACTGACCCATACAAAGCCTGATATGTCCGCCGAAATTGGCCGAGTCATGGTCAAGTTACAGGAACTGAACCTCACAGAGCACAGAGCAGGACGAGAAGCTTCAGGACAAACGGCAGACATCCTTGCTGCTGGTGCAAATATGTGGCTAAAACAACATTGGAGCGTTTCTAGAAAGAATACCGAGTTTTATACAACCTACATGTTAGGTGGGATGAGCCAGCAACCTTCGAGAGGGATGGAGTTCGTGAGATGGTCTCTGAGATTTTTTTACATCCATGAATGCTGTTCTCGACGACGAGAACACCTCCGAAGTTTTTTTTCTTCTTTTCACTTCTACAGCGTACTGTCATCCACCCCCAGAATTGGCAGCCAATTTTGTCGAAGACCTAGAATATTTTTTAGAGAAACTATTGACTCGAAATTTGATTTGGGAGGTCTGTAATACGAGGTCTCTTTCACAGAAAATCCATATACCCTGAAAGTCAAGAGATCCTGTATAGTGAAAGCATCAGTGTTTTGGAGGTGCAGGAACCCGACCATCCTCAGAATTTTCAGTTCCCAGCGTTGCTGATACCGGATATAACTCCGCATTAATCAGGAAGCCGGCTATAGTCTCCCCGCGAAAGGTAATCAGCTCATGGTCGCCGTTGCAACGACGGTTATTAATAAACGTTAAGGAGAGATTAGATTACAGAAACGTGCACAGAGACACTCCGTCATACTTTGGTGCTGCTAAGTGTCTTGAGCACCCTCACCATGCTGGGAACTATCTCAAACTGAAGGATAGATGAACGTTCAGTGCTTGTGAACTTTCTTCGCATCATTATTCAGCCAGTACAAGAGCAACCGATCGCCAAAGCTTAAAGGGTTTCATAAGTGGCCTAATGGACGCCTTCTACGACTCGTAGCTCATCGTACGGG